CCTTGAGGTTTATTTTTACACACTCGAAAGATAAAAATTATATAAAAAAGATAATTATTTTTTATTTTTTATTTCTTAACCAAATTAATTTTTAATTTTTTTAAAAAAATTCTAAAAATCAGACCATACATAGCCTAAGAATCTTTTGATAAGTCATTTATTACGTTAGTAACTTATTTAATTATTTGTTAATTTTACGACATTTTTACCATTTGAGGCCTGCTTGGTAATCATTTCGTTTTCAGTTTTCAATTTATTACAAAAACATTAAAAACTGTCAAAAAAACTTGTTTGGTAATTTTTTTGGTTTATAAATGGTTGTCTCAGTTTGTAAATTTGAAGAAAAAGCGTAAATTCAAAAAATGAGTTTACATTAGTTTTTAAACAGAAATTTAAAAATTTGACTAACAAAATTTTTTTTCAATTAATTTTTTTTTTAACTAATACTAATCGAGGGGACAATTGGTAATGCTACTTTAAATCTTGGGGAGGGGATTGTAATTTTGAAAATGTGAGGGTTGTCAATGTAATTTACCCAGTGAGGGCAAAATTTTGGTATTTAAAAAAAATAAATTATTGAAAGGTGCAATCTGTAATGAAACTTTAAACCTCAGGGAAGGGGATGTAATTTTCAAAAGGTAAAAAAAAAATTGTAATAAATATAAACCTTAAGGAGTGTTAATGTAGTTTACCCAACAAAAAATGTATCAACAATACCAGAGCCATCACTTTACTTATTAAAAATAGATATAAATTATTGGGTTTTAGTAATTGTGACCTCATCTTATTTGATGTTATTGGTCAATAAAATATTATAACGAAAATTAAATGAACGTTTCTTGTACCTTACAAATCTAACCAAAACCAAGTAGTCAACGCTACCATAACATAAAAATCACTCATTAATTAGTGATACCCTTACATGTAGCTGTTATATACTTCAAATATTTACTCTTCGTTCGTAGCATTTGATTTGATCCATTTTTGTGCGGAAAGATTGTCATACAATAGAAAAGTAATTAATTTTAACGTCTATACTTGCTAAGAGACATGGTTGTACAAAAATCTATAATATCACATACTAATAAATATATAGGGTCCAGCTTGTCTCAAGTTGATATCAAGACTGAATTCGTCTAGTTCAGTTTATGGAGTTCATTTTTTGGGCTTGTTTTGATAATTCGAATCGTTTAATGTGTAGAACTCGTCGAGTACTACATGCCTGTAAAAAATTACGTTGATCGGATATCAATAGCTATGTGATCAAATTAGTTTTGTATAAAAAAAAATGAACGGTGAAACAATTAACAGTTGATAAAAAACTGTTTTGTTCATATAGCTATTGATATCCGATCAACGTGATTTTTTACAAGCATATAGGACTCAACGAGTTCTACACATTGAACGGTTCGGATTATCAAAATAGGACCCGTGGTGGGACCTCCATGGGCCCAACAGCACGGTCTAATCCGATCTTGGACTGGACCAAAGCCACTGCCAATATATAATATCACTTTTATATTTTATTTCTAATCATTTGTGTACGGGGGCGAAATATCCTCTGCTTTCCGTATTTCTTAGACTTAAGCTTCACGTGACGACGTCTAACCTGGCAACACAGAAACGGTGAGCTGCCCGGCAGTGGGTTGCCGGATAGACCCTCCGACGATCAAGTCAGATCACTTGAGGAAGAAGAAGGCTGTTACAGAGAGAGAGAATGTGTTTCAGATCGCACCAGTTGCTTACCTCTAACGTTCATCTTCCCTTCCTTTTTCTAGGCTGGCTATGCAGCCTTAGGATTGTGCGCACACTATCTTTGCTGTCATTCTCTGGACAGGTAGCAGTGCTCGCCTCCTACCACCTTACGCGTGTAAAGGCCAAATCCTCAATGCAGTACATGCAAAACTGCCAAACGGTATTGACTCGTGCCTAGAGCAGATTTCCTCTCCCTCACGCCATTGGCCCAAGTGGCACACCCGACAGGCATACCAAAACCGGCCTGTTCCTTGGAGAAAATCACAACCACAGAGAACACGACCGAGCTCCCGAGCTATCCGGTCGGGCGCACGCTTACCACCATCCCGGTCCAAACTTCCTCCGGGTTAACTGAAGGTGAAACATGCTGGTCCTCTTCTCGGCCTAGATTCAATCCGGACTGCGACTAGCTCGATTACACGTCCGGCTGAATGTCTGCCTCATAACTCGGCCAGGCCATACTCCACGCCTGGTCGGTCAATCTACCTCAGTCGTGCACGATAGGCCGGACAACCGCGCCTATTGAGAAAGCAGCTCGGCACCGTGAGGTTTATCGCAACCCGCGTTACCGTAGCTCGACCATGCTGTCCGGTGCAAATCTCCCCTCTCAATTTGTATGATGTGAAACTACATGATACAGGTGCTTCTCATGATATCGCTATACAGAGGAATCATTTTAATTTTTAACCTGTGATTCTCTATACACGCAAGACGGACGTGTAGACGGACGTGTTAGCATATTATATATTGTAAAATATATATTTTCTTACCCTTTAAGTTTATATGTTGTATCTGAATCGGAAAAAAAAGAGTTTATCTGTTGTATGTTATATTGTTTTCTGCTGTAAGATTTCTACAAATTCTTCCCATCATTGTTGGTGAAAATTATTTATTGCATAATTTTGCTAACGTGTGTATATAAAATTGGGGAAATTATAAATCAATACATATGATTAAAAATAATTACAAATACATGATGGTGTAATTCTTTATATATAAAAAAAAAATATAGCAAAAAGTTACGTATAAAGAAGATTATCACCCTTCAGGACTATTTTGGGGAAATGGTTAATTTTTTTTTTTTTTTGACTTTTTAAAAAGAAGAATGAATAAAAAATGTGAGAGATGATTTGACCAAAAATGAATTAAAAGGTAGAATATGACTTTTAATCATTAATAAATAATCACCCCATTTTTCATTGAACAATAATTTCTCTTATAAAATTTAAGAATTGTTATTCAAATTTCATTTTTTATTAATTGTACTCTAGATTATGTCGTTTTATTTACATTGAATTTTGTATTATGTATAATTTGAAAAGCTATATATAAGGGGTATTTTTTTTCAGGTCCTTGGTATTATGATTTTATAGCATAAAGGACACCCAATATTTTCATAATGTCTAAGGTCCATCAACAATGTACTGCCTCTGTCTAACCAGTGCTAAAATTGCTCTAAAAAAAAAAAAAAAAAAAAATCACTGCTAAAAAGATATCACTTTTAAAAAATAAAATAAATTTTGTCTTAAGTACAAAAAATTTGCATTTCAGGTATTTTTATAGTCTACAAGGACTACAAGTTTTTAAAAAACAAGAATTCAAAATTTAAAAATAAATAATTAAGCTTGAAAATTGAATCTATTTTTAGATTTGAATAACAACACTCATTTCATATTTATTGAATGATATGACGGAGTGGATCTCAAAAGACATTTGTTTAGTATATGAAAAAAAGGAAATTCTATGCATCTCAGTTATAGTTTTTGCGATATTTGATTATGAGTTATTATAGTGTCAGTTATAATTTATTATGATATTAATTATTACATTATTTTGATTATAATTGAGAGGGTAATTTTTGAGAAAAATTGGGCCGAGCTGCGAGTTGGGCTTTAGGATTATACGAGGAGAATTATTTCTTCCCCGTACAATAATCTAATAACTCTTTGGTTTCGTTTGGTTTAGTTTTTGAAATGAGTTTTAGGTTGTATTTTGAAAAATAAATTTTTAAAATGAGTTTTGAAAAGAAAAAAACTTGATTGGTTATGAGTTTTGATTTGAAACTAGTTTTTAAGTTGTATATTTTGAAAACTTGTTTGGTTATGAGTTTTGAAATTTTTTTTAACTAATTTCTTATTTAATTTATTTTTTTGCATTTTTATTTTTGTAAAAAATATTTATTTATTTATTTATTTATTTATATTTTTTGAACAAAATATAATTGAAATGTTTGACGTAAATATGATTTCTAAAAATAAAATAAAATATTAAGATAAAAACAAATAAATTTTTTAAAATTTTTAAATATTAAGTTTAAAAAATTTATTTTTATTTTGAATATATATATTTTATTTTAAAATATTTCTTATTTTTTAAAATATTTAATTTTTTATTTTTTAAAAATTTGGATCGCCCATATATATCTAAATCATAACAAATTATTTGATCAATACTTAAAAAAGAAATATGATTTCAAAAATAAAAATAAAAATAATATTTTTTGAAAAATAAATAATTTTAAAGAACAAAATAATATATATATGAAATTTTTTTAATTAAAAAATAGAATTTTGAAAGAATTTTAAAAACTTATTTGGCTATGAATTTTTTTAGATAAGTTTTTTAAAAGAGTTTTGAAAATTTTGTTTGATTATGAATTTGAAAACAAAACCAAACACTACATTTGTTTCTACCTTATATGCTGTTTGGATATGAGTGTTTTTTTTTAATAATAACCTATATAGAATTAAATTATGATATTCGTAATAATCAAATCTGCAAATATCATAATTTATATATGGTACATATAATATTTAAAGAAAATATAAATTTAAAAAAAAAAAAAATTGAGTATGGGACAAAAGAAGTAGATGTGGTCATAAAAGCGATGATTTTGAGTTTGGAGTTGGGGGTTTTGAGGACGTACTCCCTAAATGTAATAAAAAAAAGAAAAAAGAAAAAAAGGACGTACTCCCTAAAAACAAAGGGAACAAAATACATAAAAATAAATAATAGAAAATAAAAAAAGTGGTCGTGTAAAGAGTCATCAACGTGGGAGATGCGAAGCCCTGTCACGAGGCACTCGACGGTGCTGAGCCACGACAACTGTTGTTGCAATGTGGTACTCGTGGCTTAATCCTTCACCACTCTCACTTCTACATCACTTGCCCCACCCCCAACCCCACCTGTACTCCCTCTCTCTTTTTGGCTTATAAATTGCAAATTTTACCTTTCTTGAAACCCTCACTTCCCTACAAATACATACCCATCATCCATCCATCCATCCATCCACACATACATGCATGCATTCCAAAGTCAACTGCTAGGCTCTCACTCTCTCTCTCTCTCTTTCTACTACATTTTTCTCTCTCTTCTACCATTTATCTGAGTGGAGTACAGACCTTGAGTGAGTTGGGTGATCAAGTGTGTGTTTTTAGACTGAAATGGGAAGAGCACCTTGCTGTGAGAAAGTGGGGTTGAAAAGGGGGAGATGGACTGCAGAAGAAGATGAGATCTTGACCAAGTACATTCTAGCTAATGGGGAAGGTTCTTGGAGGTCTATGCCGAAGAATGCTGGTGAGATTTTCTACTCTTCTTATTACATTTCACTATGTCAAACTTACATATGTATATGTATCTTTCAAGAAACAAATGAAATGAGTCTAATACTTTTTATTTATGGTTTTGAAGGGTTACTTAGGTGTGGGAAAAGCTGCAGACTGAGATGGATTAACTACTTGAGATCTGACTTGAAGAGAGGCAACATATCTTCTGAAGAAGAAGAAATCATCACTAAATTGCACTCTACTTTGGGCAATAGGTTAGTGCAGCATTCCCTCATTATCTTTCCAACAAAAATTCTGTAGACATAATCTATGATGTGAATTTTGAAATTTTTTATGATGTGAATTTTGAAATTTTTTTTATTAAAATTTGAGATTAGATATTATAGAAGTGATGACTGTAAATATATTAGAGACCTTAAATAATTTATTAAAAATCTTGCCAAATATATATATGATTGTGAATTTTACATGAGTAAATATGATTATGATTATGAGTTTTACATGGGTGTGGACTCACAGAGTGGTTAATGAACTTTTTTTTATAATATTTTGTGTATCCTAGCGTTGCTCCAAAATTATCTATGCAGGATTCCCCCAATATTTTTATGACCGAATCTTAACCGTATGATTTTGCCTCAATATTTTTATGTTTTAAAACTGGCGTTACGCTATATTATTGAAATTACATTAATAACAGGTACACGAATTTTAAGAACATATAATAATTTTAAAATAATTATATTTATATATCACATTTTATATATAATATAATGTGTCATTATTATATTGATTATATATATATATATATATAAATAATGTGATTCATTAAAATAATATAATAATTATAAATAATTTAGTATATTTATATATGATGAAATATAATTATCATGAAACATCACTTATAAATATGGAATTACATTGATATGATGTCAATGAAAGTTATTTATAAAATAATAAAACATATTATAAATATTAATAATTATAATTATGATTTTTTTATTTTTTATAAATAATTTTTTACTATGTCATTGTTCCTATAAATATTTATTTTTAAATATCAATAATAATAGACTCCCATAAAAACACAACTTCCACAACTTCGAAAATGACCTTAAACCATTAATATTATTGTCGAATACAATTTTTTTTTTAAAAATAAAAACACAACTTCCACAACTTCGAAAATGACCTTAAACCATTAATATTATTGTCGAATACAATTTTTTTAAAAAAAATTAAACATATTAATAATTAATATATCAATAAAAGTTATTGAGTCTGGCATCCCAAACATTTTCCTTTAAATACGCAACGTTGATATCACTGACAATCAATTCTTAACAGCTCGTTCTCTCTCAACTGGCAAGAAACACCTGTCCTTGTTGAAAAATCAAATTTGATGTTGCATGGACATCAATAAGCCACGCCATCAACTAATTACTAAAGTGTTTTGTTTTTTTTCAATCACCAATCAAAATCAATAAGTTTCACTATTTCAATCAAGGAATCGTATTTGAATTAGACATAGGGGCTGAATAAATTCTTCTCCCTCCGTTTTAAGGAAAAAAAAGTTTTATCCTTGAACTTTCTTTTTTGAGTAATTGCACATTATTAGAAAATGTCTTGTAGCGCGATTTTTAAGGCTTGAGTTTGGCTCGACAGTCCAAAACGATATCGTTTTGGGCTGTTTTTTTTTTTTTTTTTCTTTTTCTTCTTTATTTCTTTTCCCTCCATTCGAACACAGAGACGGAGAGGGAAGAGAAGAAAGTTGCCCAGTCCGTCGCCGCCGATCGCCCAGCCGTCGCCCAGCCCGTCGCCCAGCTTCGATCGCCGCAACAGCCTCCTCCTCCTCCTTCCTCCTTCCTCCTCTTCCTCCTCCGCCCCGCCTCCGCCTCCTCTTCCCCCTCTGAATATGCCCCCTCCAGTCCTCCTCCTCCTTCTCCTCCTCCCTCTCTTCTCCTTCTCTTCTCCACCCTTTTTCGAGCCACAGATTCGAACTACGAATCAGAACCGGCACATTATTAGGACAGTAAAAAAATTTATTACTCACGAAAATTTTTGCAGTAAATTTTGAGACATACAAATCACAAGAATAGATTTGTATTAGCACAAGGCAGACTTACATTTTGTGAAATATAATATATATTTTCAATTTTACAGTGCCTTTATTTTTCATCAATATTACATATCACACTAATTTACACATTCAATCATGAAAAAAAAAATTAATGCAATACTAATATCATAATATATATATATAATATCACTATTTAATAGATTACAGTAGGAACATATTATACATATATGATAATCATTAATTAATAGATTTCTTCCAAAGAGCGACTTATACTAACTGTCTCTATAATTTAGGTCTTATCTTACTTTGATCTTTAACTTTTTAATTATGATACACTCAACTCTAAATTTTAAATTTTGTTTCAAATAAGAATAATTGAAGATATCATTATTCAATTTCAAGGGCAAAGTGTTAATTTGAAAAAATATAAACTAATTTGACAAAAAAATGTCAAAAAATATTTTTAAATTTTGAAAATTTATTCCTACCCACTAAAGATAAAATTATGTAAAATTGATATATTTTTTAGACATTTATTTGTTTATTTTACCAAATTAATTTTTATTATATATTTGGATGATAATAATGTAAAAAGTGGTTATTTTTATTTTCATTAAATTAGTTTCTATTTTTTTAAAAGTCAAATATGACGAAAACTTTGATATTATTATTAAAGTTTGATTTTTTGGTTTTTTTGAGTTTTTTTTTGAGAGAATAGCGTAATGATTATGGGTTGGATGTGATGTTTTGTTTGTTGTGGCTAAAATAGTCTATTTTGTTTTTTGTGGTTATTTTAACCCCAAAACCACTTGCCAAACACCACCTAAATATATCGATTGCACAATAAAAACCTAGCAATCATCCATTATATGATCATTGTCCAAACATATAATAAAAATTAATTTAGTAAAATAAATAAATAAATAAATGATTTATCAATTTTACATAATTTTATCTTTGGTGGGTATAAATTAGTTTTAAAAATTCCAAAATTATTTTTTTGATATTTATTTTTGTCAAATTAATTTATTTTTTTATCAAATTGATAATTTTATCCTTAAAATTGAGCAATGATATATTTAATTATCTTCATTTAAAACAAAATTTAAAATTCAAAATCAAATATATCACAATTAAAAAATAAAGAATTAAAATGATACAAATTTTAAATTATAAGAGACGATTAGAGTAATTTGTCCCTCTTTGAATAGTGAGATTGACCGTGTCAAGTGTTATGTTATCATTGTTTGGTATAATTTATAAGTTGATATTTTTTTAAATGAAAAAATATATTAAAAAAATAAAGAGATAATATGTTAAAAATAAATTAATAAATTACTTATTTTTATTGTTTCAAAAAAGGCGTCTATTCTCTGACTTTTATCATTATGTCGGTTAGGAAGAAAAAAAAAATTCAATAATTTAGTTGATAATAAACCGACAGCAAGATAATTTCTTTTCTGATAAAAAAGTCTGAATATTTTTATCAAATGTTATATTAAATATCTGGTATGAAACTTATATAATATGAATTATATGGTGTGAGTTATATGAGTCTCATGCTTACCTGAGACATTTTATAAAATATTTAGTAAAATATTTAAAATCTTTAACATTACTTTATATTATTTTTATATGTTAATATTACATTACTTTAAAAACATAATAAAAAAAAGTGTCATGATCAAAATTTATTAATCACTTAAATACTAATAAAAGGTTATCAATGAACGAGTCTGGCTCACGAGTATGAAAAATTGTTGAGAGTACAAAAAGTGATATTCTAATAGTACCATTAATGATATGACAGTAGGTGTCCACTGCCTATATATATGTATATATATTTTTTGTGGCATTCTCAATGTATTAGTACTACTAGTGGTCTTTTTTTTAGTGGTATGAATCATTATTATATAAGTATCTAGTATATACAAGTAAAAAATAAAATATTTATAAAATATAATATTTTTTATATTAATTTTAATGAATTTTTATTTTATTAAAATTAATATATTTTTTAATATTTTTACATTTCTCAACATTAACCCACGTCGAAGAAGCACTTGTAAACCTTTCCTTAGTTAGGTTCGTTTGGGAAGAGATTTTCTAGATTTTTTTGATTATTTTAGTCACAAAAGATAAAATAGGATATTTTAGTCATAAAAAACAAAACATCATATCCAATCCATAATCATTACACTCTTCTCTCACAAAAAAAATTAAAAAAGTCAAAAAATTAAAAAATCCTTCATAAACTAAACTTTTTAGCCCAGACTAAAATAACCAAAAAAATCAAAAAAAGCCACACGGAAGCTTAATTGGATTTGCATTTCTTCACAGGTGGTCTTTGATAGCGGGTCACTTGCCAGGAAGAACAGACAACGAGATTAAAAATTACTGGAACTCTCACTTGAGCAGAAAAATCCAGAGTTTCCGGAGGCCTTGCAAGAACGAAGCACCACCTCCAATGGCGGTGGACTTGGCCAAGTCCACTGTCGCAACCAAGCGACGCGGTGGTCGGACGAGCCGCTCCGCCATGAAAAAGAACAAAACCCAGAATCCGACAAAGGGTCCGAACCCAAAGCCAGTGAAAAAAACAGAACCAAATGCATCAGTGCCAATGCCACAAACCCCAACTTTGCAGACAGAGTCTCTGTCTAGTGCAATTTCATGGCAAGAAGAGAGTGTTGTTAAAATCAATTTAGATTTGGAAGGGAATAAAGAAGGAGTGATTGTAGGCAGTCCTCATCACGACGATCATGCAGGACTGGCCCTGTGCGGCGGTGAGGAGAGAAAAAGAAAGAGTGAATACAATGAAGGGTTAGATGAGAGTGGGATGTTGTGCTTCGATGACATTATGAGCGATGAGCTAGTGGATCCCAAAGGGGTTACGATTTTAGGTGAGGAGAGAGAGAATGATACGGCGGTGTTCATTAACGAGGAGAGAGAAAGTGATGCGGCGGCGGTGGTCATTAGTGAGGAGAGAGAGAGAGGAGGGGGTGCCATGAATATGAGTTCAAATGGAGAGAGTTCTTCAACAAATTCATACATAGATGATTGGGATTGGGTTTGGGATTGGGATGCTGTGGTTCAAGGGAATGAGATATGGGGTGATGAAGAAGAGAATATGAAGTTCAGTTGGTTGTGGGAGAGTGATAATGGAAAAGGAGACTCTATTGTTAATAATAAGTTGGGAGAGATTAATTGTGAGAAGCAAGAAGCTGTGGTTGCTTGGCTTCTCTCTTGACTTTCCACTCTCTTCCTCTGTTATTTTCCTTGTATTTTAGCAGTTAATGAAAATTCGTTTAGAAATTGTTTACAGTTTTGTTGGTTGCATCATTTGTCATCTCCCCATTGTAAAACAAATATAATTCTAAAACTCCATCAAACATCATTTAAGGTGCTCTCTCTTCAAAGTCTCTTATCATTTTACAGCAATACTATGTATCGTAAAAAAAAATTTACCAAGATTATCTCAAAATCCTGGTCTGTTCAAGATTTAAAGAAAATAGTTTCTGTGAAATATTTTTTGTATTGTCCATTTTAGTACACTCTCAGTTTGATTTATGTTTTAAAATTTTATGTTTTCAGAGTTCTCTGTGTTGTAAGAAATGTTCATTATATCATTTAATAATTGTGAAAAAAAAAAATTGATCTTTTTTTTTAAATTTAAAATAATGACAATTTATATAATTATTTTGCAATCATTTGATAATGCAAGGGAAATGATTTGTGTACGAGTAAGAAATAATCTTCTCGTATAATCCTGTTGATCAAGTCCGCGCTCCTCCAAACGTCGTCGCTTTACTCCCTAAAAACACAAACGTGAGCTAGCCGGCGGGTGTGTGTCGGATACCTCTCCAATGCCTGAGTCAGCAAAATAGACAAATAGACAAAAGCTCTGTGTATTCGAGAATCAAAATTGTGTTACCTCTTCATAGGTGATGTTGTGAGCTTTTATAGGTTCCGTGTGGCACAATCCTAGTAGGACTCTTATTCCTCCATGCAGAGTCCTCTTAGGAATTACTCTCCTAAAAGAAAATGCTTATCCTTCAACACTCCCCTCATTGCTTAAACTAAGTGAGATGGTCCTAGCTCGATGGTATGTCCAAACGACCGAGCTAGCATTGCCATGGCACAATGACAATGTAACCAAGCTAACAATACTCACGTTACATTTATCCCGGCGCTTTATGCGTAACATGTACCTCAGCTCCGCCTGTAGACCGTGCTAACCATAGGGTATTCGGACTGAGTTACTCAACAGTAAGGTCCTGAGTAGAAGCCAAAAATACCTCGGCTCAAGATGGTTTGACCGAGCTAACTGTCACCGCACTGACCGTGGTGACCGAGCTAACCACCAAGCTCTTTTGGACCGGGCTATCTGCAAGGCTCCTCTGGACCGGACTAACTACAATGCCCTTTTACTGTGGCCCACAGAATGGTCCATTACCCAGCTCGGTCCAATTTACATATAAATTACCCTCTCAATTGCCATTTAATTCCATCTGCGCAGCATGATAGGGATTACCTGTCACCAGCTGAGCTAAAAAAGCTTTAGCCTTCCAACCGAGCTAAAAAACTTCAGCCTTCCAACTAGGCTAAAAAACTTTAGCCTTCCAACAAAGCTAAATTCACACCGTGTTACCAATCTGTCCGGTCAAAACGTCTCTTCAGTCTCTAACAGAATCGATTTCCATTCCAAGGACATGTGGCAGACTCTGATTAGCCCAATGCAGTTGTCACGCCGTCTTCGTACTCCGCATTTTTTTAATAGTCCCGCCTTTTTGTCATTTCCTCTACACAAAACAAACCCTTCGTTTTGAATCATACACACTACAACAAAATACACATTTGGCGACCCAGAAATTGGTCGCCAAAAGTACACATTTCGTCGCCAAAGGAATCTGCGACAAAACGTCTCTTCAGTCTCTAACAGAATCGATTTCCATTCCAAGGACATGTGGCAGACTCTGATTAGCCCAATGCAGTTGTCACGCCGTCTTCGTACTCCGCATTTTTTTAATAGTCCCGCCTTTTTGTCATTTCCTCTACACAAAACAAACCCTTTTTTGTTGTAGTGACACTTCACTATTCATTTCATTTTTTCTCTCTCTTTGAGCCTCCATCTCTCCCTAACCTTGTATTTGCAGAGCTCGTGTTTGTTGCTGCTACTACCTCCATCTTCAGTGCCTTCACCTTGAACTGGTAAGTGGTTCGAATCTTCTTCCATTCTGTTGATTTCGCACCTCTTTTGCAACACAAAGTATGTTTTATTTGTATGTTTTTCAAAGCTCATTCCACTTTTACTTCCATATTTCTGGGAAAAACCACGCAATAAAACCACTTGATTTTTTGAATAATCTGAAAAATACTGTATTTGATTCAAAATCACACATCAACCGAACTAGGATACTGTTTATATTAGATGCAAGCCTAGCCACACCCAACAACCGCACTAAAACTTCACGCCATACTTGCGGTTTCCATAGGTTAGGGACCTTTTGTTTCTTTTAACCAAGCTATCGAACCATACTAGGTTTGCGCAATACCATGCTAGAAAGCCTCAACCATCGACCGAGCTAAAACTTAGGGCTAAACCAGCTCCCTTAGTTCAAACTGAACTAAGAATGCTACTCCAAAGGCTCAACCGGCTAAAGTCCCTTGCTTAAACCGAGTTAAGACTGGATAGCATCCCACGTAGCCGAGCTAAGACTTCATTTATCTTGCCTATATTTCTTGTAGCACGGTCCCACGATCTGTGCTTAACACCTTTCTTTTTCACTTTGCGGACTTAGGTCAGCCAGGCACTCCCTTGAACGCTTCAGCCGAAATACTCCATCATCTCAACACCGAACTAACACTTGTCGATAATTTATATATAATTAGTGGAAAAGTATAGGTTCTTAGTAAACTCACCACGTGCCATGGCCGAGTTCCAAAGGGACTACCATATTCCTGATGACGTTCATCTTACCTTGGCCGACCTAGATACCATACCCTGGGGAAACCCTGGCTTCGTTCCCTTCACCCTTCTTTCCATTGTAGAAACCGGACTGCAATTCCCTGTACAACCCCTTCTTTGTGAATTCCTCAGACAAACAAACCTTTGCCCTACCCAAATTTCCACCAATTCTTACCACATAATAAACGGCATTACCGAGCTAAACCGCCGGGTTGGCCTTAATCTCGGTCTAGCCGAGCTCTTCCACTAATACTCCATAGGATCAGCTGAAGATGGTTGGGTTTACTATTTAAGAATAAGACGCCGTCGTGAAAAGATAATAAAAAATACCCCGGATAAAGATGTGAATGATGATGATTTCTTTTGGGTATCTGGGAACTTTGAGGACCAACAAGCCCAGATCCCGGGCGATAGAATAAATTGGAACAAGGGTTTTCTTTACTTTGGTTTTCTTATCTTAAATTGCACTAACTCTAGCCTCCTTCATTCATGCAGATTTGAACTTTCTCAAGTCCCAATACAGCTACCCCAACCTGAACACATTTCGCGCTGCACTTCGATATCCGAACAGGAGCTGGGCCGAGCTACTGAATTTTGAACCAACCTACCAATATAGTAGTCGTAGGAAGACCAAGGTGACTGATTTCCTCATAGCGCCATCCCAGAACCTGATCCTTCCCTTCCACAAATCAACTTGATCCTATTGACTGCGGAGCAAGAGATGGCCAAGAAAAGAGCAGTAAGGGCCCTTCTAACCGAAACAAACCAAGCCGAGGTACCACCAGCCAGCCAACCTCAAGAGACCGTGGTAGCCCTGCCAACCGCACAGCCTTCTTCATCTCGACCAAACAAGCGCGCCCGGACTTCCACGATCGAGTCGCGCCTCCTTAATGAAGAAGACACCGTGCTTCCGCAATCCACACCGCCCAGCCCAGAACCGGAGCGTTCTGAACGAGCTAGCTCTTCCAAGTGGGTGCCTAGGGTTACCTATAAGAACCGCGCTATTACTAACTCCGACTCAGTGATCGCGAAAAAAGACCATATGTTGGCCTTTAATTTGGCCAAGAGTGTCTGCCTTCCAGCCGATATGAATCACCACGATCATCTTACCGAGCTAAAGGCCATTCGCTCGGCTTCCAAGTCAATGGGGTTGGTAAGTTCTCTTTTTCTTTCTTTAAATTTCAGCATCTTTTAGCTCGGTTCCTGCTCAATGCTGTCTTCCTCCCCTCGTAGGCCTTACAGAAGAACCACATTGCGCACAAACGCACGCTGGAACTTCGAAAAATCACAAGGGAGGCCATGGCAGAGGCCAATGCTAAAACGGCCGAGCTTAAAGAATCCCAACAGAAGATGGCCGAGCTACAGGCCGAAATAGCTCGACTTACCGGCCTGGTCAATGCAGCCGAAACCGATAAGAAGAAGGCTGTGGCCGTGGTGAAAGATAAATACTTGCGCGAGCTGGCCAAACTCGAGGGAAAAAAGAACGCCGAGATAACCGAGCTAGAGAAGAAGGTTGAGGATGCGAAAGACCGCGGTTACAAGAAGAGGGAGGCCACTTACATCCAGCAATGTGAAGCTGCAAAAAATCTTTTCTTCAAGTGTGGATGGGCGGCGGCTGTGGCGCAGCTCAGTCATAGCCCAGAGATCGAGGTCTTCAACACTCCTCCGTATTTCATTCCAAGCTCTATGGCGGAGTATGCTGCCGCCATTCAGCAAAAATTTTTGGAAGATGAGGACGGAGATGCTGTTCCAGAAGACAACATCCAGCCCGGTCGCCAGTCTATCTCCCCAACTCCAGTGGTCTCCATCCCACCTTTGCCTGCTGTGTCTAACGCGGTGCCTCCAACCGAGCTAAACCAAGAGGTGCTTGCAACAACCGAGCTACCTCTGGGTGAAGACCGGGTTGTTTTGGACGCCGACCTAGACGACCTTTTCTCCTGATTATGTACTTTTCTTTTCTTTAGGTGCTATCTTTAGAATTTTTGTAACCAGGCTATGGCCCCCATCTCTTGTACTTTGGCTTTGCATTATCAATTAAATCATCTTTTGTTTTCCTCAACTGTCCGTTCAGTTTACTTCTATGATATAATCTGAATGACGTAAATTCTCTGACCGAGATATTTATCCCGGTCTTAACTTTGCAATCTAACTGGCCATACCTGCTAACCTCTTCAGCCTAGATCCTTATCTCGGTTGAAGAACAATAAGTGTTGGTTTTTCCAGCCAACCTTTTCAGTCTAGATTCTTATCTCGGTTGAAGAACAATAAGTGTTGGTTTTTCCAGCTAACCTCTGCAGCCTAGATCCTTATCCCGGCTGAAGAATAATAAGTATTGATTTTTCCAGTCAACCTCTTCAACTTAGATCCTTATCTTGGTTGAAGAACAATAAGTTTTGGTTTTTCCAGCCAACCTCTTCAGCCTAGATCCTAATCTTAGCTGAAGAGAGCTCA